CTGAAGGAACGTCGAAGAGAGTGAAATTGCGCGTCCGTAGTTGTGTGGATGTTGAAACGCAAGTTCTCATCAACGTAACGAACCAAGTACAGTAACGTTAGCGTATTTATTCAGCCACTTGGTAAGTGGCCCACCAATGGGACGCCACTCTTCTGGCATATAAGTGTACAGAAATATTGTGGATGTCACAGAGCACGATCGATTTGCCCGAGGAAAACTCAACGACGGTAGGTGATGAATATGTTGCGCACATCGGAAGCGGAGCAGGCGGAGTCACGTTCTGGGCGGATTTATTATAATTGGTTCCGGGCTAACACGTTGTCCGCAATTTCTTGAGCATATGCGAAAGCAAACTGCACGATGAATTTGCGTCCACAGCCTTTCTAAGAGCTATAAATTAGTGCTAGACGCTCCGTGCAATGTCCATGTCCCCAACAGATCCGTCAAAGAACACCACCACCACCCCACCAATCTCAGTCAGCTGGTTCATACGGCAATATATCCTCCCCTACTTGAAGTGTGTCGTGGTCGGAACGAAGAGCATAGATGTGAGAGCACATCGCGAAGCATGTATGGGACCTCCCTCCAGAAGTCACGATGTCTAGATGAAAAGAAGATAGCAGCAAGCGTCAGAGCCCAGTTCATAGACAATGCGATGACGCAGCTGAGAACACATACGGGATTAGATCGGCGCCCGTTGCGCCGTATGTCGTATAGTTATAGTATGCGCCGAGCGCAAAGTAGCCAGCAAACACGAGTAGCAACCTGGACGCCCATGTGAGTAGCCACCCTCGCGCCAACGTAATTAAGGTACTCACGCAAGGAAGAACCACCCGATCCCACTCCCGACGGACTCGTCGTCGTCCGTCTCGCCGCCGCCCTCCTTCCCCCCTCCGCTCCCCTCGTCCTGTTTCGGCTCATCGTCGCCCTTGAATTCGCATCCCGCGGGCGCACTCCACTCCACGTGCACCTGCGAACCATCGTACGACTTGAAAATAGGATCCAACACCTCCGTGTCGCACAGCAGGTCAAGCACGAAGGACTGCGGTATTGGGTCCGCAGACGCATCGGACGACGGATATGATGCGCCGTGCAGCGTAATCGACAGCCCGCGTCTCGGTGCTGCAACAATCCATGAGCATTTCGCCCCATATGCCCAAACAATGACAATATTGCTCACAAGATAGCGCGGCATACGCGGGGGTCTCCGAGACCTGCGCGACGGGCACGACGGCGACGACGCGGTCCGCCTCGCCCTCCTTCTTGTTCGTCTTGGTGAGACATGCACGCGTTCCGCTCGCACACTGCCCCGCGTCAGCACGTCCGCAAGCGCTGCACACCGCTGCTGCGCACCTGGTCCCCCGCGCCCACGCCGTCGAGCGGGGCGAGCTCCCCGCACACGTTGAAGCGCACAGCATCGACCCACGAGCTCGGCGGCGTCTCGCGCGTGCGCGCGGCCGAGTGGTCGCCCTTGAGCGCGGTCAGATCGTATTTGTTGCTGCCGACGGTGAGCCGGCAGTCCGCGTCGTCGTCCTGCGCGAGAGTGGCGGGCACCGAGGCGGCGAAGAGCAGCGCGAGAAGCGAGAAGGTGTTGGCGATGTGGTGTCGGCAGACCATAGCTTGCCACAGGGGGTGGGGTGGGTAAGTGGCGAGGAGAGTGTGCACGATGCGATGAGCAGGCGGTGGTGCCAGAGCTCCTCTCCTGGCTCAGGCTGGCGGGACCCCGCGAGCGATTACGTGATGCACGCGTACGCGTCGCGTGCATCCGCCGCTTGCCAGTGTGGCTCCTCCTCTGAGCTCTCCCAAGCCATCCACCACCGTCAATCTTTGCCATCGCTTTCTCTGCAATAACCGTCGTAGAGCGCAAATATATCGCTAGCACACCCAGCCATGGCTGGTCTCGAGAATCTCATCCCACTCATCTACCATGAGAAGCAGCAGGCCGGCTCTATGCTCTGTGCCCAGCATGCCCTTAATTCACTCCTGCGTGCGTGGCCCTTTTCAGATATGCGTGGCCCACGCTGAATATTTATTTGACATTACAGAGGGAAACTATGTCAGTCATCGCTCCAGGCGAAGATGCGCGTGCCCTGATCGATGAGGTTCTACAGTTCACCGCGCCCGATCTGTCCACCATCGCCCAGTCGCTCGACGCACTCGAGGAGAGTTACGACGATGACCGTGCAGGCCGAGCCAGTGCCAACATGGACGATACAGGTCGGCTCGTCGTGTGCCCACCAACGAATGCAGACACTCACCTGCTATCGCGGCGCAGGCTTTTTCTCCGTCCAGGTTCTCGAGAATGCTCTGAACGTCTGGGGGCTCAAGTGTGTAACCCCACCACCCCTTATCGTCAACAGCTCATCTCCCACCCTGACAGCCTCGTTCGCTGGCGGAGCGAAGCGATGCTCTCCTTCCAAGACCACCCGCAGTCCGTCCCCATGCCAATGCGCAGAGTCGCCCACTACTGACTGTATATGCATCGCAGCACTCAACTTGCATTTATCCTGAATCTCCATCAGCACTGGTTTACCCTCCGGCGCTTCGGCAACGCCCTGCCGCGCATAGAAGAGGACCCGGGCGACGGGCACTGGTTCAACCTCAACTCCTTCCTCGCCCAGCCCGAGTGGGTCAGCAAGACCTACCTCGGCATGACCCTTCAGCAAGCTGAGGCCGAAGGTAACATCTCTTTGCTTTACCTCAGTCATCGTTAACCTCACCGCGGATACAGGCTACTCCGTCTTCGCCATTGCGCAAGCAGACCCAGACGCGCCCCTCGCGCTCACGCGCACCGACGCCGACACCTTAGCTGCCACGCTCCCCACACCCACTGGCGCCACCTCGCACCTCTCCACGACGCGCACGCCCCGCGCGCCAGCAGGACTCGAGGACGAAGATCTCGAGCTGCAGGCCGCGCTCCAAGCCTCCCTCGGCGGCGGCGACCAGACGCACTGGGGCCCCGCACAATGGGACGGCGGCAGCAGCAGCGCCGCGCCGCTCGACCCGCTCCCGCTCTCGTTCGGGCCCCCGCCGCCGCTCCCGCCCGCGTCGACGCGCCCGGACTCCGCGCCGAGCACGCCGCGCGCGCCCGACGACCCCGTCGCGGCGTCGCTCGCGCGCAACCGCGCGTTCCTCGAGCGCATCCGGCGCGAGCAGGAGTTTGCGCTCCGCGAGCAGTTCGACGAGAACGAGTACCCTGCGGACGCGCTGCGCCGCGAGGACGACGACGAGATGCTGCGCCGCGCGCTCGCGGAGAGCGAGGCGCTCGCGCAGGAGGACGCAGGCGCCGATGCGAGTGGCGGCGCGGCTGTAGCCGTGGCGCAGCGGGTGTATGACGACGACGATGCGGAGCTGCAGGCGGCGCTGCGCGCGTCGTTGGAGACGGTCCCTCCAGGATTCACGCTTCCGGACACGCCCGAGCATGTTACGCGCCATCTACCGTCCTCTTCTACACTGCCTGTCACGTCGTCTTCGCAAGCGGACGTGAGGGGTGAAGGCGAGGACGAAGATGGAGATAAGTCCAGTACAACTGAAACCGAGACGGAGGCAGAGCCGAGTCGAGTAGAGGCGGACGTGACTGTGGAGGAGATGAGGAGGAGACGGTTAGCAAGGTTCGGTGGTACTGGGGGAGGGACTTAAAGCGAAGTGCATTCCCCCTGATGTGAATTACTGACCTAGGAAGCTGACTTTGACGGCACACATCCCAAGAATGCTCATCCCGGCAATATACAATTTTTTTGCGCATGCGGATATGCTGCCCGGTACTACAGTCGGTAAACTTGAAGGCAGTCAGGGTTAGCTCCGCACGCACTGGCGGAATGACTGACAGACTCAATCGAGAGTGATAATCGGTTACCAGTTTCGCCATTCACACAACGGATTGGTGTATGCATTTATTCAAGAAGGTAATTATTCATGGACATTGTTACACAACACATTGATACACGTAATTATCCAGGGTATGAACAAGCCTCATGCACCATTGAGTAGAGCGCGAACGCTTAATTGGTGCCAGAGTTGTTTCCAAGGCCTACGGCGTTCTTGGCCTTGCCCAAGAGCGAGTCCTGTGTGCATGTGAGTGACAAAACATACACGAGCCAAAAAGTACGCACCTGGTTGTCGTTCTTATTTCCTGAGAGCGTGTCGCCGGCCTGCTGACCGGTGGACTTCTGGCTCTGGATGGGCGACGATATGAGATTCCACATTCGAAGGGTGAGACCGATAGACTAACCTCGGGCTGGAAGGTAGAGGCGACGGAATCGCCTGTGCCCTTGAGCTTGTCACCAATGTGCTCGGTGGTGGTCTTCTGGGAGTCAGGCTAAGAGGAGACGCGTCAGCAAGGATAGGGGGATTGGCGTGCGACAACCAACCTTGAGAGCGGCGCCAGCCTTGTCGGTGAAGGATTGACGGCCTTGGTCGGACATGATTATAAAAGTTGGTGGAGAAGAAGGTTTGGATGAGGGTTTGAATGATATGAGAGTGGGAGAGAAGCTGATGAGGAGGTCGAGGCGATGGGGCAGGGTTTTTATACGGCTGGGGCCATCGCGAGAGGCGCAGCTCCGATCTCTCGACGATGACGCGGGGGAGCGCGTCGGGGATCAGGTGACCTGGGGGCAACGTCATGCGGGGCGCGTTTCGTGCGTCACCGCGTCATTGGCACCGATCCCGACGTCCTGCTCGCCTTGGCGTCCGAGTCCTTTGGCGCGACTTTGGCGTGCGCGACTTTGGCGTGCTACAGTATCGGGCGGGCCCTGCACAAAGCACATGCTCTCTTACATATGCATAGCTGTATGCATAGCTCGGTTTCTTTGGATCCACATCGATGTCAATTATGCTCGCACGGCATGCGCATTTCTTGCTTGCTTGGCGGTACTCTCGGACATCACACACAGTCACGACGCACGTACGGACAATATTGATAGACTCATAGAGTTATCCAATTGCTCCGTGGCCCAGGAGGCCGTGCGCATTCTGAGCAAACTGTGTACACATGTCGCATCGGCTGCGTAGTGTAGTGGTTATCACCCGAGATTCTGACATCTATTGGAGATTCTCGTGACCCAGGTTCGATCCCTGGCGCGGCCTTAGGTCGAACGTGAGCGACATATTTTTATTCCCCTTGCATTATGAAAGCCGGACTTTGCCGAGAAGAGCACCTGATACGGCTTTGCGATTGCTGCAGGGAGGATTGACCCAAGACAAATCCAAGACTTGCGTCGAGTTACGAACGAGTTACGAAGACGATGTCGACGAATCCCTCCCACATCCTCATCGCCCGCAACTCTCGAGGAGCCCACAATCCCTCCGCGTCCCTCAGCTCGCCCACAGAGACCCACGCAGCCGCAGCGGGCATCTTCAGGTCTTCAGGCTCCCCTCCTTGGTTTCTCGAAGGCGTCGACACGGACGACGTAATCTCAGAGCTCAGCATCGACGACACAGAGGACCCCATCGATGTAGACCAGGCCTTCACAAAGCGCTCAGAGTTCCCCGGCACCGTCAAGATCGTCGTCGAGAGCACGACATTCTGGTGCGTGCGCGCTCTCTCACCGCCGCGGTGCAGACACTCTTAAATTGCCGTACGTCTCCGCGTACAGGGCGCACAAAGAGGTGCTCTACTTCGCCTCGCCCTTCTTCCAGGCCGCGCTCAGCGGCGACTGGGCGGAGACGGGCCGCCCCGCATCCATGTCCTCTGTAATCACAATCTCGCAGCCGCCCGTCGTGCCGGGCGGCAAGGCGCACCAGGACGTCGCGACCGCGATGACCTTCGCGCCGATGGACCCTGACCTCGATCCGGAGGAGCTGGACGTCGACATCATTGGTGACTCGAGCGAGACCGACGCGAGCGACGCCTCAGTGTCGGTCGATGCGAAAGACCCGGAGGAGAAGGCGGCGGCACAGGCCAGTGCAGACACCGTGAAGGCGAAGGGCGAGGCGAAGGAAGCAGCACGTATGGAAAGTCTGGACAAGCTGCAGCGGGGGAGTACAGCGGCCGCTGATGCGGCTGCCGAGGACAGCGTGGGCGGTGGGAAAGGCAAAGGGAAGGGGAAGGAGAGGGAGACGGTGAGGCTTTCCTGGAAGAGAGGTACCACTGAGGCTGCGGTCAGACGTCGCCAGCGGCCAAATGGTCCGGATGCGGTCATTGTATTGAAGGAGGAGAAGGTGGGTCCACCGGACTTCGAGTCCTGAGCAAGCGCTAATGTGGTGCAGGCGAGCACGTTCCACGACTTTCTCCACTTCGTCTATCCCAGGTGAGCTTCGGGGTATCTGGATGCTTCCACGCCTGCTAACATGGAAGCAATTCGTAGCATGGAATGCACGATCACCTGGAATAACGTGGAAGGGCTCATGAACATTGCCTCCAAACTCTGTGTCCCGTCTCTGCAACGCAAGTGCCTCAATTTCCTCCTCACTCACGCCGCCGGCCGGCCGATAAAAGCCATGCGTATAGCGGAGCTCTTCGAGGAGGAAGAGCTTTACCGCGAAAGTTCTCGCTTTGTTTTAGACAACCCCGGCGGATGGCCAGATCAAGAACTGAATACGCTCGGCAGCGAAACATTGCTAAAACTAGAAAAACGGTGCGTCAACTTTGCGATCAACGCAGCGAGCATCAGTTGACAACATCATACTTTTGTCTAGTCGCACATGGTTTCTGGAGCGCGTCCTCAAGCTGGGTCTGGTCCAAATCGCCAAGGAATACGAATGCGTATGCTTCTCATCCCTTCTTGGTTGAAGTCTGGTTTTCACATTAGGTCTGACCAGTGCTCTTCTTGTCCTGACCCGTCCAATTGTGCACGGCTCTTGGACGAGAAATGGCGGCAGGCCTACCAAGCCGTCTTCCGATTCGGGCCATGCCAGCCCTCAATGGTTTTCCGTTACCTCCGTACGCTCGAGGGCATCAGCCCGCCATTAGCGCTCTCGCACCTCACATGCCAGAATACCGCAAAATCGTTCGTCGCAACACGTATGCCCGTTCGCGTAGTCTTTGACAATCGGTTGTCTGACGCGCATATAGTCTTTGATCGAATGTTTTCCCTCGGTGTGCGAGGAAGTGGGACAGATACCGCCCCGCTTGGCGCGCGAGTGGCCGCAGTCGCTGGCATGGCAAGTGCAACGCTTCCCCGGCGACATTTCCTCTATTGTTCGCTGAAGCCAGAGAACCCAGCCCCGCGAAGCACGCGACACCGTGATGCCTCATGAATCTCGCGGATTAGGCTTCGTGCGAGCCGTTGCTACCGTCATAGTTGTTTTCCTTATGCTCTGCTTTCGCTTTGTTCGTATCTGTTGTCTGATCTGCTTATTATCTTTCGTGTTCAGAGTCGGACGAGAATTGGTGATATTGCCTCTGGATTGCGTCTCGACCGTCTAACCTAGTCAGAACTGAGCTGCGACCAGTTTGCATCGGATTTATCCTGCATCTCCTTGACGTTGTCCCAGGTCCCCAGCGAGCAGAGCGACGGCAAGATCCTCCACACCGCCTTCCTTACGTCCGCGCCGGCCTCCTCCACCGCCCTCTTGCACTCGTCGCACGTGAAATACCCCGTGCCTTGCATCAAGTCGAACACCTCCCCGACAATTTCCTCAAAATTCTCTGACAGCACGTCGAACTCGAGCTGCCGGTAGCGCTTCTCGACCAGACCCGCGGCGTCCTCGTCGACGCCAACGCACTGCGCCCCGCCGGGCCCGCGCCGCACGCACGCCCGCAACGCCGGCTTGTAGTGCTCGAACTGGTGCACAACGCCGTTCTCGTAGATGTAGCGCATAAGCGTGTCCCGCGCGACGAGCGCGAGGTCCGCCGCGCCGCCCCCGAGGAGGCGCGCGGCGGGGAGCAGCGCGGCGCCGTAGCACGCCGCGGGGAGGATGCCCGGGAGGTCGTACTGGCGCGCGAGCGCGATGCCGCGCAGCGGGCTGGCGGCGGCACGCTGGTAGCGCGCGAGGTCTGTGGGGAAGAACTCTTTAAGTTGCGCGACGGCGGCGCGCCGGGGTGCGGCCATCATGTACTTGGTCGCCATGTGCAGCAGGCGCTCGAGCACGTCCAGGTTCTCGTACTGCCTACTGGACCTATAAAATTCGGGGTTGAGCGTCCCGAATTAGGATGTGGGGTCACGGTGAGTAGGAGGCGGGTGGTGCGCACCCGAGGGAGTAGAGGCTCTCGAGCAGCGTCGTGAGTGCTGCGGGCTCGTCCTGCAGATGCACGGCGGGGCAGCCGTCGATGGTGTCGTCCGCGCCGTCCGCGTACGCGAACATGTCGCGGAAGACGGGCGAGTGCATCGCGAGCACCGTACGGTGCACGCGGAAGCCTGTCGCGCCGCACAGCAGGACGATGTTGCCGTCGTCGAGCCAGAAGCGCTCGCTGCGCTCGAACGTGGGCGCGGTTGCGGGCTGCTCCGTTTGGACGCTGCCGTCTGGCTTGTTTTTGGCCTGGTGGGAGAGTGGTGGTGTGTCCATGGTGGTGATTCAGGGAGAAAGCCTGAAGGCGCGAGGGGTTCAGCTGTAAATTTCTGAAACTTATATGCGATCGACCTCCTTTCCAACCATCGCCTTGTCTCAGGCCTCAGTCAGCTATATCACCTTCAAGGCGCGTCAAGTCTCGCAGTACACGTATCCACAAGATGTCTTGTTCGTATATAGCCCCATCCATGACTATGCTTGATCATGAAGACAGGGAGCGAGCCACAGAGTGTTTAAACCTGGCGTATCGGATTCAATGATTTACAAGCACGTACTACTCATGCTGTCAAACTTCACGACACGAGTCGCAGAAGACCATAGCGGTGTAACTATCCTATCCTATCCATCTATCTTGGTTATGAGCGGTATGGTTGAAATACATCCAGATGCAGAACAGAATCGGACCTCATGAGGTTGAGCTAAGATAATTATGAATTGCAGGGAATGAACAAGTCCGAGAGGGGGTATGTAGCAGCCGAAAGATAGACGGTCATAGGTAGATCGTGAGGTGATATGTAGTGGTAGTACTTAGCAAAATGCATGGGAGACTCCACTGGAGGTATGTATACATGCTGTGACCGTGCTTAGGCCCGGATATGACGCCGATAGGAATAATGACAGCTATCAACACCAATAATAGCTCTAAACTCGACCGAGGAAAATCAGAAGTAGTAACACAGTGGTGTGGGGAAAGGGGGCCAGTGTAGATGTGACAACAGAAAGATACAACAAAGATCGGGGTCCCGAACTAGTGGGATGCGGGGAGGGAGGGGAAGATGTTCGGAGCATTCTCTACGAGCCACTCGACGGAGAGCGCCTTCCCTGCCATGTCGCTGAACTCTGCGCCGGGATTGCGCGAACGCATCAGAGTGGCTAGTTGGGTATGTTGAGTACAGGACATCAGGCGCATATATATCAAGTAACTTACGTCCAAATACCACGCCAAGGTTGCGCGCCGTCATGAGGTTCTGAGAGCTTTGTTGGTGTATCCTATGCGCACCACAGTCAGTACCAAGTCGCTTTCAGGGAAAGAAAGACAACACACCGATTTAGGTGAAGCATAAGTAGGCGGAGGGTATAGTAATGCTCGGTCGGAAGCTGCTTAACCAAATCAGCATACTTCACGCCCTTGTGCAACGGGTCCGCGGTGGACGCGTGCATGAACTCGTCGTGGAGCGCGTAGGTCAGCAACGGGTTCGGCAGTGTGCGGAAGTATGTCTTGAGAACAGAAGTGACACTGCAGATGTCGTTGAACCTGTCGGAGTCGCGCAGATCGAACGCGTCGTAGTCTCCACGCTCGAACAACTGCGTGATCATCTTTGATTGCCCGGAGCCGCCTGTCTTGCGATAGATGCCCTCGTAGTCCATTGCTGTGGAAATCAGAGTTAGCACGAGATGCTGTGCAGGGCGGCGATGCGCTCATACCACTATTCTCAACCGCGTCGATGCACTTCTCCACAATCATGGGAACCATCCTGTCCTGCGTCTTCGAATCTGCCCGCACTTGCTCGATAAGATCACGGCCAAACATCGACGGCGCTAGAAGCTGTTGTCAGGATTCGCCTAACACGGAGCCTGGGATACACTTACGCATGGGACCCAACGTGGCTGGTGATTCATCTCTGCGAGAAGATGCC